AGAAACTAAAAGAAATAATTTAGTAGCAGTAGAGCTCCTTGTGAAAGAGTTCGTCCAAGGAAGTACTGCCACCGTACCTATTTCTGCCGCCAAGCAGTAATGTCAGCATTACTGTGTTCCGGTGTTAAAGGGTAAGGGTGCTGGTGAAATTACAGGTACATGGGACTTGTCAACTTATGTCTTAGGGTGACCGGCGCAGTGACAGTGTCCCTCAGATCTTCGAGATTTAAATCTCTTAGTGGCACTGCAACTGTTATGGACAGGCGTGTGGCTAACCATCAGGCACACTACTTGTACGTCCCGTCATTTGATATTATAAAAAAAAAATACAAAGGTCGAACAGAAAGAAAAAATCCTTCGAATCCGACCTCGCTCCTCTGAGTTTCTTGAAATTTATGTGCGAAATTTAATTTGAAATTTACCATGACCTTTTCGGTGAAGGAAAACATCGCGATGATACGATGAGAGTGGCCGACTATGGCCTAAAATTCTCGCCTGAGAGGAGACCCGTGCCCAGCAGTGGGACGTACAAATGAGTTGATGATGACCCTTTGGATACACAATAAAGGGAAGTATTTCCTAATAAAAACACTATTTAATATATCGCACCCTACACACTTGTCGCAACAGCGTAGTTTATTTTCTCAGAATATTTACTTCTAATCCACGAAATTATTGGTCATCCATCACTTTCCGAACGCTTTATAAAACAAGATACGTACATTTGTTTGAGTAGAGGGTGCATCTTTGATGTACTCCAAAAAGAAAACAATATGAGAGATTCTGGAGGGAAGGGGGAAATTGCTGGATGTACATACATCGAAAAATATTACGTTTTTATTAATTTGTACTGATGTTTAAAGCAAGTCATGGGTTTAAAGCTTAAAACTCAGGGCTACTAATACAGGGTACTAGACCTGTATTACAGCTCACCAGGCTCCCACCCAATCAGACAGTGCCAGTGTCGAGTATGAAACGATTCAGTAAATAATAGTGAATATAATAAAGTAAGTAGACATTGATGTGTGCTGTGCGTCTCTGCATGTGTATGAGTGTGTGTGTGTGCGTGTGTGTGTGTGTGTGTGTGTGTGTGTGTGCGTGCGCGTACGTGAGTACGTGAGCGCGCGCACGCGCGTGCTGGCGGGCGGTCTTCGGGCGTCCGTGCGTGCGTGCGTACGTGCGTGCGTACGTGCGTGTGTATGTGTGAGTTCACGATTGTAAAAATTAAGCAAGAACGGTGATAAGGATTTCAGATTCAACGTAGTCTACCTTTATCAACCAGTTAGAAATAGTATGTTTACACTCATATCTGCAAAGTTTATAAATCTAAAGTAATAAATATAATTTGTTGTATAAATACCCACTCAAAAAACAAAAGATAATAACTAAGTTATCTTCATTAATTAAATGATTTTGTTAATTAGGTATTGTCATATTACAAATGTACGATATAACGTAACAATTGATCTAACACATTACACATTATAATCTAAGTTTTTATGTATTAAGTATATGACTTACTGGCTGTCTTAAATAAATAAGTAATTGAAAATAAAAAACATTGTAACACCTTCATTGTAACTACATTTCTCAACGACTAAATATCTTGTATTCTTGTATCCTTGTATCTATCCCATAATCCACAAAATTACTAAAATACATGTATCACTCGACACGTAACCACTTTGAAACTTATCCAAATCTTACCCTACTATGACTTATTCAGTGCCCCCTAAAATTCATGTATTATTTGTGCCAAGCGTCAATGTTCGTGTTTATTCATACATATTCATTTGAACCTCTGAGTGCAGTACCCCTGCAGCCTCTAATGAAGCCTTTTGCCGAGCTATGGATCTTTGTCAAACACACACAGTGGGACCTTTTGTAAACAAAATTAGATTATTGTACGAGAGAAGACTTGAAGAGATGAAAGAGAATTAGTTATATTGGGTGAACGACAAGATTCTAGTTAGAATTGTTAAAAATCAAAATTCAAAAATTGAAATCAAAATCATTATTGTTTCATAATTAAGCAAGTTACATTTCAAATCGTCATATTGATTGAACTCTACCGCACATTCGTAAGGCAGATTCCCCAAGAAGAATGAGGAAGAAACTCTAGGAGTGGCTCTTTGTAAATATACATTTGAATTCATTTATCATTTACACACATTTTAGATTGAGAATACCTATAGGAGATAAACATGTCACTATCACGGATTTTTGTTGTCTAAGTACGCAGAAGTTGTATAAATAACCTTCAGTATAGTTTTTGTTTCACTACAGTTTTAAACCTCGTAAATGACAATTTTTGAATATGAATCGGAATCTTATTATAGAAGTATATACGTTGAAGTATATTACCCCTTAAAAGAACAATAACAATAAAACTTAAAAACTATTTATCACTATGTATATGTGTTATCATTATGTATAAATGTTAATATTGAACCACATTTCACATCTTCCTTCGCCAGCAGATTAAGCTCTGCTGCGTACGCAGTCCGAAGAATACGTGTGCTTACCGATGTTGCTACTGCTAGACTAGTTTACTTTAGTTACTTCCGTAGTATAATGTCCTACGGGATTCCCATGTGGGGCAAAGCGGTAGATATACAAAACATATTTGTGTTGCAAAAACGAGCGATTCGTTCTGTGTTCTCTGGTTTTTCACAGAGAAAAGTTTAAGGAGACTGGTATCATGGCTGTGGCATCACAGTACATTTACTGAAATATTCTGTATGCCCGTAAAAATATACATAAATCCAATAAATCCGTTAAGAAAGAAGATATCCATAATATTAACCTTAGAACTGATGGTACCTACCACGATTTCGTTTAACTGAGATAAACGATTATTTTATGGGGAACTAACTGTATACGTTTTTACAATAAGCTTCCGGAGCTTACATATAAAGTATTTTAATTGAAAAGTCATATTACAAAATTGAACACGTACTGTGTTAGATTAAATATGTGTGGAAAGACAACATGAGTGTAGATTCCACAGAATTATGATTCAAAGTGTATTCCATGGTATTTAAGTTTATTTGAAAAGAGCAATTCCTAGAGTTTCTTTTTCATTTTTCTCAGGGAGGTCAGTGCAGTGAACGAGCAGTAGCTTAAAAAAATGACGTTTTTAAGTGTAAAAATTATACCGATGTAATAAATAATTATTTGACATTGACTTTGGAAAGGCACTGGAAAATCGAAGTGGCACTCGCTGATCCACCTAACGTCAGTCACGTATTTGCTAGTCTAGAAACTTTCTCCAAATTATATGGGCTTACGTGACTTTAATTTAAGGAAACAGAACACTGGTGTTAAGTACATAACTTATAAGAAACAAAGCAACAGAACTTCGGTGTAAGTACATATCTTACATCAATACTGGGCAAACTTATGAAATAATATTTCATCAACACGTGGTTGGCAATGAAACTTCCAAAATATTGTGGCGGGAATGAAAGTGGAATTATATCCGTATTACACTGATATAAAAGGCTATCAGCACCCCCCATCTGTCCCCCACTTTCTGCCTCGGCATGAAAAGTGGGAAAACTTGGAAAAGATTCGGTTGGGCTGTGCATACATACTTTACAAATCAGTTAGTCAACTAAAACTGAAAATATATCTCTTCATTAAGACTTAGTGGGTTCATCTAAAGCCAATGTAAGATTTTTTCAAATTTATAATATAGTAATTTAGTACATACCCGCGAGTACACATTATTGCTTAGAACTGTTAAAAAAATCTTTGAAAGCTCTGTTGGCTTGGAAGCATGCTAAATATAATATAGGTCTGTTTTCATGAAAATACACTGTCCAACTTAATGAAACTAACCCTTATCTAATAAGTCGTATAGTTGACCTACTGTTAAAAAAACCTATTTCTCCCCACGTAATAGACGAGGGTGGTGAGCCGCGTAGCGCCTGATATTATTATTGCGGCAAAACGTCTGAACGAATCTGGCGCAGTGATGAATTAACAGCGATTGTTCATGGTTCAGGCACTTCGTACGTTGCACGGATTATTCGCTGTGGTGAAACCTTTAATGAGTTTCCATCGCTAAATTTATAATTTTACTATAATAAAATAATGTTGGTGATTATACAATGATATTAAAATGTTTTTATTTTACGAACCCTTCTTCTTCATTGATTCAAATATTCTTTTTTTATATCAGATTTCATAGATAGTGTTAATTTTATGTTACAGATAAGGAATTTAGTTAGTTTATGGAACCTTAAAAACATACAAATTACAATAAATAAAAATAAATTTAAAAAAACTTTACTGTTGAACATATGATTTAATATCTAAGTCTATAGAAATAAAGAAGCTAAACTATATTCTTTTTGGTTCGCCTCTGTATCTATGTTGGTGTATCTATTTGGGTCAACCAGCGTTTGTTTGTCTGATTTTGTTCTAACGAGAAATTTATTTAAATAAAAGACTGCAATCATTTCTAACAAAAACAGTGTAGAAAAAGTTTAGTCACTTAATAAGTACTTTAGTAACAGGCCCTAAGATAGAAAATAAGTGGAAAGTTCAAGGGAAAAAATTGTAATCAAAGTCTCTTTGTTGAAAAGAAAGCTTTTAAGTTCGAAGAAGTCCCAAATGTTTTCTTGCAAACGCAATCACCTGAGGGCCCGTTTAAATTGAAATTTTCATTTTGCAAGCCTCCCCTTCGAGTCCGTCGCACTGAACAGATTTGCATACACAATTCTTGCTTTTCAATACCTAGCAAGTTTTCCTCGTAAGACGTTGTTTCTTATACAGTTTGAAACTTGAGACATAAACTTTGGTGAACTTTAACCATAACAATAACCAGCGTATATTATAGCTCTACAACACGCGTTTATACATAAACACATGTAAAGTATACTACAAAACGCAATGAAGACGATAATAATGTTATGAAATTATGAAACTGAAGATTATTTTGCAAAATCTAGTACAAATATTGTATATGAAATATGAAAATCAATAAAATTTACCTCTATAGTTGTCTTTCCCGATGCTTGCCACTTCATAAGATGTTCTCCCTTGAGCGACCAGCCTGGAGCGTAACTTATCAGCCCGCCGTTCCCCGCTACGGCCCCTGCCGGGGTCGCATTAGCTACTTCAGTCGTCGACGTTTCCGTTTTCGACTTCTTGGGGCTCGTCTGAAGCCGGAAAAAACTACGCCCGTGAATCTTGCAACTTTTGGAAGGGGAGAAGAAAAATGAGCTCTTTTTAGGCGATTTTTCTTGCTCGTCACCCGGTTTCGAAACTGACGGCGTTGGCTCTTCGATCGGCACATCTTGATTTTCACTTACACTAGTACAAGGCTTAGGTCCGGAATTTTCATCAGCAACAAATAATAATGTTCGTTGTACAAAAGGCGTTGCTTTGTTATAAAACTCACATGGTTCTGGCACTTTAAAACTGGCAGGAATTGTTGTCCGATGCGACTTTGAAAAGCGCCGCTCCATGTACTTCCTTGCCATATCATTACAGCAGAATTTCACTTAATAATAACACTTTTACATTCCATTAATAACATAAAATCTCTCTGAAATTAAGCTGGTTCTATTGGCGACTTCTCAGCTCCTATTATCGGATTACCTAATCGACATAAGTTCCTATTGCTAAAGACAGGTAAGTACGAAAAAGAAGCAAAATAAACCGAGCAGAATAAATCCTTTGCGACGACGGACCCCTCGAATTGGCAAGATAGCGGGTGTACCGTAAGGTATATCCCACCTGCGAGACAGCTGAAACTGTAATATTTTACTAGTAAAGGCCGTTCAACAAATTATACCGTTCCAAAGATGATACGGTCTTCAATAGCTTTTCATTTGGATGGCATTTTCAAGTACCCTAATATTCCATTTTTAGTTTAACGGAGGATAGTCACGGAACCAGTAAAAACGTAATAACAATTTGTAGCATTCATTTGTCATTTTAATCAATTCTCTGAATAGCGTAGAGTTCTATTTTCGAAAATCATTTACTTGGACGAACAAAGTAGTTTATAATAATACTAGGAACACATAAGCTAACAAAATTCCTACCTACATTTTAAAACTAATTTCAAGTTTCAACATAACCAATTTAAAAAGTAATACAACGAATCTCTGCAATTTTAAAGCTGCATTTCTTTTTTATAATTTTCCATAAACAGAATTTCATAAAGAGAGGTCGAGGACGGATTGCAATTTTCACGCGGAGGCTTCTCCGGCCTATCGATCGCGTGCGTGGGTAAACATTGCCGCCCTTACCTTATTTAGGGTTGCCATGGAGTTTCGTTTACTTAGAAAAATAAAGGATCAGTCCTATTTTCAAAAGTGACATTTTTTGTCGTCTTTCGACTATAAACTTATACAATCTTTGTATTAGGACTGTCAAACCTTAAACCTATTTAGTCATTTCAAGAAAAGAAAGGAGAATTTGAAACGAATTGAAAATAGCACTTATTTGCTTTTATGTGAGTTTTACTAATTGTACTAAAAGTTTAATATACATAGATGTTAGTCTTTAAAATATATCTTCTTTAAAATGTTATTGCCCATGGTTACCCTACGACACTAACGCAAAATAGAACCGTTGTCAAAATTCGATCTTGTTACCAAATGCTTAGTGCTAGTTTACTGTGTTTTCAGAAAATTGCTTTTCCTGCGCCTGTTGAGCTGACTTGCCGAAAGTTTCTTGACACAAGAGACAAAACTGGGAAGTGGTTTCGGCTTTGTAAGTGTAATATGAAAGAGAATAATAGTATTGGATATGTAATTTAATGAACAAAGTTTTAGAGTCAAAGAGTATTGACCAACTACTTGTCCGTTGGGTGCCGCACTAGCGCCTCGAGCTACAGTTGTCACATTCCGTACCTTCTGAGACAACAATATACTTACCACAACCCCAATCATCCTAGACAAATTTGCCGTTTGCCCCAGGGCTGAGCGGGTGCTCAGCCCTATGACGGTTCATAGTGCCAGGAGCTTTGTGTAGTTGTTGGTGGGACATCTACGTCATGAAAGTTTTTTTACGAGCTTAAGTGACGGGACGAACAAATCGTGCGCCTGATGGTAAACAACACTCCTATTCATAACAGTTGCAGAGCCACTCAAAGCTATATATCGGAAAAATCTGAAGGGCACTGCCCAGTGACAAGCCTACTAACAGTTACAAAGCCACCCTGAGTTTTAGTCGCAAAGATCTGAGGCGCATTGCTACTGCGCCCGTCGCTGTGACACATAAAGATAACAAGTTCAATATGCCTGCAATTTCACCAGCATCTTTACCCTTCAAAACCTGAACACAGTGGTCACATTACTCCAGTACTTTCCTAGACAAACTTTTTCACAAGAGACTCCACGACTGCTATAAGTTAAATGTAAAAACCTTAAAGACTTTCTCGACCCGTTTACGAATGAGCGATAAGCGGACTGCAGTAAGCCGCTTTGCTACACTGAATATGAGAGCGATACATCCCTCTATTGCAAAATTGATGAAGTGTGTGAGATGATAAATGTGTAGTTTGCTACTGAAAGGAAGCGAAAGCGTTGCAGTATCACCATGCACTGTAAATATATGGCGTATTGGTCGGGAGTACACATAACAAACTGGACCATCAAGATTTAGACGTGGTTCTTCCGGCTAGAATGGACGGAGGTATGAGTGAATTTGAATTCGAAAACTCAAGACTTCTCTACGTAAGAGTCATAATCGGATTAATCCCATTGTTGTCTTAGGAGTGTATGACGATAACGGGCTCGGAGGGAAGGCAAAGAGAGCAAACTGAAAAAGAGTTGTGGGTTAGTATGAGGGAAGTATTTATGAATGTAAAGTCAAGTAAATAAGAAGTGTTAACAATTCTTATTTACTTGACATGATTTTTGGTTCTATTTTCTAATATTCTAAGAGGGCGTTGTGGTATGTAAGAAGATGTAGTGGCTAGAGAGAGGATGCTTCGATGATTTTTGTTTTTTGATTTTTGTTCATGTAGAAAGAATGAATGTTGGTAGACTGACAATACACATTTATAGAGCGAATTTGAATGGAGGCGTGGGAAGACGTAGACCTCGGCGTACATATCTCAAATCAGATTGGGGATGTGCTTAAAAAAGGCCGGGTAAAAAGTAAAAAGAATAAGCAGCAATAGAGCTCCTTGTAACCGAGTTCGTCCTGGGAAATACTGTCATTTTACCTTATTTCTGCAACCAAGTAGGAATGTGACCATTACTGAGTTCCGGTTTGGAAGGGTAAGGGTGCTGGTGAAATTACAGGCACATGGGAGTTGTGAACTTTTCTCTCAGAGTGACGGACGCAACGCCAGTGCCCTTCAGATCTTCGTGATTTAAAGCTGTGAGTGGCACTGCAACTGTTACAGATAGGCATGTCGCTTATCACCAGGTACGCTACTTGTCACAGGGTAGTATAAAAAAAATTCTTTCACAAAAAACGCTTTCAAATTTTTCTTTCACTATTGCTACTGTCTCGAATGTAAGTATGCCAACTTGAATATCCAATTCTAGTGCTCATTTTTTTAATTGGCACTGCTGAGACAAAGACTGCGTGCTTTTAATTCAAGTAAACTATATATTTAATTTACACAGACAACCAAAAATTAATTAAAAAATATAAATGAATCCTTCATATTGCAACGGTTATCTAAGATAAAGCAACAAAAATGATTAATTTAGATGATAATAAATACACTTCACGTCATAATCGAAACAAAGGGAAGGCCGTAAAACAATAGTTGTTAAAACACCCTCTATTTACTGGCACGCATACTTTATGACTATCAAACTGACAGAACTTGAAATGAAAATTATGACTTTTAAATTCGTCACAGTTTAGGTTCACGTTACATTGTGTAAATTATAGGCAATTTTGTGTAGTATTATATGTATGTTTTTGCAATTTGGGAAAAATAAGAAAAAATATTTTAACAAGGTAATGTCTATAAAAAAATATTTGTTTAACATGGTGGATATTGAAAAGATATTTAAAATAAATTATCTCTTATTAATTTATAATTAACAAAATGTAACTAATAAGATAATTAGACACAACACATAAACGCATATCTTGTAAAATATTTACAATTTATACTTGTATACTTAACTACTTTTTTAAATCGTTACTTTGTGATTATTAGCAGTCCGCAACTGGAAAATAACTTCTCCAAAATAAATAATAAACTCAAAAAATATTTACAATTTTGGCGAGCACTAAGCTCGTAGCAAATTGTAATCTATAGCAATTAACCCTATTTATAAAAAAACCATGGTAGCCTAATGGTCTAATCTACTGCTTCTAAAGTAGAGACTATGGGTTCGAGTACGGACTCGTGTCTCTGAGGTTTTTGGAATTTATATGCGAAATTTAAAATATACCGTGAGGTTTTCGGTGAAGGAAAACAAATAGTAACGAAACCTGTACGTCGAAAAAGATTCACAACCCTCGGAAAAGTGTGAAGTCCCCATTCCCAACCCGCAATGAGCCAGCGTGGTGGACTATGGCCTAAACCCTCGTCTGAGAGGAGACCCGTGCACTGCAGTGAGACGTATAAATGGGTTGATGATGATGAAGATAATGGCTATAAAAAAGGTTTGTTCAACATGGCGGATATTGAAAAGAGATATAAAATAATAGTTTCTCTTATTAATTTGTAATTTACAAAATGTATTTAATTACATAATTAGATAGGTGCAACAAATAACCAATAAAATATTTACAATGTACACTCGTATTTTTAGGTGATACAAATATAATATGTAGAAAGTAATTATAATTAAAACAACGCCTACGTCATATACATACCTATACAGTCTAGTATTATAACCTGTGACTATACTATATAAGTATAAATTCCAAGTGTTTTACGATTTACGTATTGTTGACCTGCCTCTGTAATATAATATCATAGTTTTAATACGGGACATTGTAATAGCAAGACGTAGTTTTGTTAATTTTGTTCGTTGGATACCGTTCGTTGGGTCGTGACTGCGATTATCTATAGCGGTCGGTCTAGGAGTCGGACCCTGGATGACCCCGCCAGTTTATGGAGTAGCGATATATTTAGTATACAAATTGAATTTCAATATTGAAAATGGATGTATTAATGTGAAGCTATATCTCGGAAATAAATTTATTTGTATTAATTATTAAAAATCTGAACTTACCATTATCAACCCGAAAATCAGAGGGCTTAGGAATTCATACGTTTTTTCGAGGGTTGTGAACCTTCTTCGATGTACAAGTTCCATCACGATGTTTTCCATCATCAAAAAGCTCATGGTAAATTCAAATTAAATTTCGCACATAAATTCCGAGGAACAGTCCGGATTCTAACCCACCGCCTCTGCTTGAGAGGCGGTAGGTCACAAACCATTAGGCTACCACGTCAAACTTGTAACATGAATATAATTTGATTCCGTAACTTTTCCCTAACATATAATCTCCAAAACATTTCCTTCCAGTTCGGTTTTCTTAAAAATTTCCTTTTAATAAACCT